AATCTGTGCTCAACCCACTGAGCCCCCCAGGTGCCCCCCAGTGCTTGGTCACGCATTTTTCAGCCTCATAGATTGAGGCCTTCAGCTTCAGAATTTTTGTTTGCGTTTTTCTCATAATTTCAGCCTCTTTTGTAAAGTACTCCTTCTGTTCGCTAATTTTATTCCTGAGTTTACTGAGTTGCCTTTCTGAGTTTTCTCATAGTTCATTGAATTTCTGCCTAACCGCCATTTTGAATTTTTTATCTGTGAGAACACAGTGCTTCATGTCTTTGCATTTAGTTGCTGGAAAACAGTCCTTTCTTTTTGTGAAACCGTATCACTGTGGTTTTCTCATAGTGCGTCATGAAATGTACCTCTGTGGTCACACTTGAAGTAGCAGACACCTCTCTTACTTAGGGAAGGTTTTGTCTCCTTGGATTCTAAGGGTTCAACAGGTTGTCATTCAGGAGCCTTTCTTTTGTTTTCCAGAAGGTGGCGCTGTAGCACAAGTTTTCGGTTTCTCCTAGAGCTCCCTCTAACCGGAATTGAGCTAGGACAAGGCTGGCTTGCAGATTTCATTGGCTCAGCCTACCTCCGCGTTCAAGTATCATAAAGGGAGATCTAGAAAGAGCCAGGCTGGGGCTCTCTTCCTCACTCTGTAAGGTGTGGGCGATTCACTCTGCCCTTTAGCCTCCTACCCCGTGCCCTTTTCCTATTTGGCAAATGTGTTGATGGGGAGACTGGCCACGTATTTGAGACAGACTCTTCTCCTGAGGCAAGACTCTTGTTTCTCAAATACTCTAGTACCGGAGGAGATTTTAGTCTGCATTTTAGAAGCCCCTGACTTCCCACGCAGGCTCCAGATACAACAAAGACACCACGATGAAAATAGCAGCACATATTTAGGGATCTGGAGGTTTCCGAGTTGTTTCAGCAGCCCCACCCATTCTCCAGAAGCTCTGGTGTGTGTTTTTCCTCCAGCATAATAGCGCTCCGTTTAGGGCAAGCTGGGGCCTAAGCCTGGCCACAGAACTGGGTGAAGTTCAGAAATCGGAGCCAGCTGCCAGAGTCTTCTCGCCTCAGAATGGCTGTTCCCTCCCTGTTTCGTTGTCCTGTGTCCTCTCTGCTCTCTCAGATACTTGATTTCTGTAAAAATAAGATTTTTGCAAGTTACATTTTTGGACTTTTTGCAGCAGGAGTGATGGAGCAATGACCTGGTGCTTCCTACTCCTTCCTGTTCTGAATGAGAAGATTGCTGTATAGGAGGCTTTGGGGATGTTTTAAATGATCTCACGTGTTCTTAGGCAGTATCATTCTGTGTGGGTGGTATCGTTTCACAAAGCAAACCCAGTGAAAATAAGACATCATGGTCTTTTGTATCAACGCGCATTTCATGCAGTGGCACAGTTTACGTGTAAGCTACTCCATCCATTTACCAGCTATTTATTGAACACTGATGGCCCAGGAACTGTTCTGCACACGACTGGCGGTGGGGGGGGTGACGGTGAACAGAAAAAGAGGACAGTACTGGCCCTCGCAGCGCGTAGCTTCTACTTTGAGGACACAGACACAACCTCAAATACAAAGCAGGGCCCATCAACTGCGAACAAGGAAGGTGGAGACCGTGAGATTTTGGTCAAGATGAAGACACCGCGTGAGATGGTCAGTTCACAGAAGACCGCGTGCTCTGGGGAAATGGTTTAGGACCGCCAGTCGTCGCCAGATGGTCAGTGTTAGCAGACGTGAGTGTCAGGTGACTGTGTTTCCTTCAGCCACTTTGTCAGCCTCCGTGACGGAAGGATGGAGTGGGAGAGTCCCATTCGGCCGACACGGGCGCCTTCCAGGCCGTGTCACCGAGGAGCAGAGGGCAGACAGGCCGCAGGCGGGTTTGCAGAGCAGTTCCTGTAGCGATGGACCACGGGATCTAACGCGGGCAAATAAGGAAGAAAAGAGAAAAAGACCGAATAATGTCACGACAGTGGATTCGATCTCTCGGTGGGAACGAGGAATCAGTGAGGTGGTCCCTCGAGTAAGTGCACTGTGGAGATAAGAGACAGAGAGAGGTGTAGCTGCAGTCACGGTCTCGGAGGCCGTGCGGTTACCGAGTCTCGGCCGGGCTTCCGGGAGCACTTCTCCATGGGCCAACCGCCAGCAGAGGAGCAGTTCCACTCTGTGACACGGGAGCCTGCTTCATGTTCTGTACGATGCTGAGCTTTCTTGGTCCTGTGCCCGTATGAACACCACCCCCCCGCCGCCACCTGCACACATACACGTTTCTAGGTTCACGTGAGGCAGGAGCCGTGGGTCCGGGCTGTGACCCGCGGATCTGGCGGTGTAGCCGGAAAAAAGTCTCCCAGCTAGGTTGTTTTCGGCTGCAAGTCATAGACTTGTTAAATAATATGGATTTGTTATCTCAGGACGGCAGAAATAGACCATCGCAGGGCCAATTTGGGGCTTAGCTTCCCTTTGATGTTCACGGCTTTCCCCTCCTGATTCTGCCGTACTGCCCAAGTCCCAGACCTCGTGTGCGCACACGTGCGGAGACCGAAAGAAGGTTCCTTTCCTTTCATCCATCTCTTACTCCACAGGAGATTAAAACTCTTCCAGGAAGCCCTTAGGGGACTTCTTCTCAAGGCACTGGGAGTTCTAACTAGGTCACATACCTAATTCTTAACTGGTACTCGGCACGTAGCGTGGGACTACCATGATTGATTCGAAGCGTCTTCTATCTTTGGCTGGTCTGCCTTGGAGCCTGATGCCGGAATGTGGTTCACAAGCAGTGAGAGGGGAATCGCTTCTGGGTAAAAAGCCCCAACAGTGTCTGCCTTGGGGGGTTTGTGTGCCAGAAAGCCAGAGTGTTGGGTGGATTGTCTATTTTGATGTGAGAGTTTACTAGGAGTAATGAAAAGGGTCGTAATGGTAAGAAGCGCAGTGAACAATGTGCGAAATTGTTATTCAAAGAGAGAATAAGAATGGCTAATAACCCCAGCAGACAGGTAATGGGCGTTTTAGCAGACGGGAAGTGGAGTCTAGGAAGAAAAGTAGCTGTTACTAGTACCCCAGGGCTATTTTTAGATCTCCCTTCTCCTACTCCCAACTTCGGTGTCTTCTTAAAACAAACAAGGGATGTTTCTTTAAAAATAAGAAATACCAAATATACCAATATTTACCATGTTTTGAACCCAAAAATAAACGTATAAGATGTACTTATTGGATGCAGAAGATCACGGTCGGATGCGCGATAGGTATATCTTACACCTTTAGTTCAAGTTAACAAATACTTATCGGCCACCATGCATACAAAGATGATGATACTATTCTCTGTACAGGTGGTGAAAATTAATTAGAAAACCCCCCTCTTTTGAAGGCTGCAATGTTTTGGAGCTTGTGTGTGTGTGTGTGTGTGTGTGTGTGTGTGTGTGTGTGTGTGTGTTTAAAATATAAGTAATATATATAAGTAATATGCCATAGAAATAATATAAGTTACATAAAGCAGTATAAAATAATGTTAACTGGTATAAAGCAATCAGTCATGATTTGTAGTGACAGACGATTACGGTGAAGGTGGAGACTTACTATGGCCAACCCTCCATAAAATAGTGCTGCAACTGTTGTAGCACAGGGTGGTTTTGTTTCTGACATAAAATTCTTTTAAAGTTTGCATTTTTTCCAGATCTTCTGCTAATATCTGGAAAAACACTTCAGTGGAGTTAACATTTCTTTAATACTTTGCATCTTCTAAGTAGAACCGCAAGGTAAAGTAATCTGTTTTAGCTAAATTGATGAGCCAGAGTCATACATAAAATCTGGAGGCTGGCATTTCTGTACATCGTATACACTCGACCCTTGAAACAGTGCAGCTTTGAACTGCGTGGTCCTGTGCACTTACTTCCTTTTTGATAAGTACAGTATCATACTGTAAATGTGTTTTCTCTTCCTCATGATTTTCTCAGTAACATTTTTGTTTCTCTGGCTTACGTTATCGTAAGAATACAGTGTATAATGCACATAGATTACAAAATCTGTGTTAATCGGCAGTTTATGTTATTGGTTAGGCTTCTGATCACCAGGAGGCTATTAGTAGTTAAGTTTTCGGGGAGCCAAAGCTCATATACAGATTTTCAGGGCGCCTGGGTGGCTCAGTCAGTTAAGCGTCGGACTTTGGCTCTGGTCACACGATCTCACAGTCCGTGGGTTCGAACCCCGCGTCAGGCTCTGTCCTGGCAGCTCAGAGCCTGGAGCCTGCTTCGGATTCTGTGTCTCCCTCTCTCTCTCTCTGCCCCTCCCCTGCTCATGTTCTATCTCTCTCTCTCTCAAAAATAAATAAACATTTTTAAAATTTCAAAAAAAAAAAAAAAAGTCATACACAGATTCTCAACTGCATGGGGGAGGATCAGTGCCCCAACCCCCCTGCATTTTTCAAGGACAACTGGTGTTAACATCTCTAAACCTCCCTTCACACACCAGACTGTTTTTAATGCATCATCTGACCCAGGAAGTTTTTGGGTTACCATATGATGACCCTTCTTGCCAGAATGAAAGGGACCTGAATGGGTTGAGTCACTGGTGAAGTGCACCTGCTGTGTTTGGTAGAAGGCCAGTTCTTTCCTACGTCTGTTATACTTTTAAAGACACATGTGTTGGAGTTTTGGGATTTAATTGTGATGTGTTTGCATGCTTTTTGAGTAGATGTTTTGATCAGTAGAATTATATATGGATTTCTCTAGAAAGAAATATATTGGGGCGCCTGGGTGGCTCAGTTGGTTAGGCATCTGACTCTTCATTTCAGCTCAGGTCATGATCTCACGGTTCATGACTTCGAACCCCATGTTGAGCTCTGTGCTGACAGTGCAGAGCCTCCTTGGGATTCTGTCTCCCTCTCTCTCTGCCCCTCCCCTGCTCACTTGGTCTCAGCATAAATAAATTAACATTAAAAAAAAGAAATATATTGCTGTTAGTTAAAAAAATGTTTAATATGGCCATATTTCTCATTTTATCCTTTATTCTTTTTTTTTTTAAAGAGTCAACACAGACTGTTCAAGCGCTGCAGTATTCAACTGCTGACGGTCCACTCACGGCAAGCAAAGATTTAGAGATCAAAACCTTAAAAGAAGAAATTGAAAAACTAAGGAAACAAGTAAGAGGTAAATTTCTGTGATTCACTATTCATTCAGATTAGTAGGTTTAAAAAAAAAAGTGCTGTTTACACACAAAATATATACTGAGTGCCTGTCTCATGTTATGTAATGTGAGCTCTGCACCAGGAATGGGAGAGCAAATCAGAATGGTTTCTGCTGTCAAGGAACTCACATTTCGGTATGGGAAAAAATAGTTTCTGCAGTACATGAGAAACATGAGCATAGGTCCCTGGGGAGGATCAGGAGGGGCGCCTCTCCAAGGCTCACGCCAAGAAAGATGGTGCTTTGAGAAGATGTATTAGTTTGGGAGGTTTAGCTGGAACTTGTCTGGCTGAGCATATACACGAACAGGGGAGGGAGTGTCAGGAGTCAGGAAGAAGGACAGTGTAGACAAGGAAACTGCATGTATGCGGACAGCAAGACACGAACTTTTATTTTCTCTGTAACAGTTCCTTTCGGCACATTGACGAGATTTAAGTAAATTAATTCAGACAAGTGTCGATACGTCCGTTCCGTCCATTCGTGCGTTGAGTCCGTTCGTTCAGCAAATACTGATTGAGCACCTGCTGGGGAGCAGGTATGGTTTGAGGCTCTTGGAATGCAGTTCTAAGCATGATGACAATGACAGAACCCTGTTCTTGCGGGACTGGAGGGCACCCAACAGACATAAGACAGTAACTATGTAACTCTGTAAATGACACACTATGTTAGAAGGTGGTGAGTACTTAGAGCAGAATACGGAGAAGGGGTCAGAAGTCCAGGATGGGGAGTTGTGTCATCTTATGCAGGCTGGCCTGGGGGTAAGCCTCACTGAGAAGGTGACAGGTGAGCAACAACTTGAAGCAGGTGTAAGGGGCTAGTGTGTACTTAAATGGGAAGCACACGTTCCACGCAGAAGGACCAGCCGGTGCAAAGGCCCCGAAGTCAGAATGCGCCTCAGGAGTTCGGACGGCGTGGCTGGAGCAGGATGAGCTAGCAGGGAGGATGATGGAGACGGACGGGGTGGAGAACAGAGGGTTGGGTAAGGCTTGTGCCCTCATCAGTACAGTCTCACTGTTACAAGGTTTTTGGTTTTTTTTTTCTGTCAGTGTAATGGGAGCCTTTTGCAGGGTTTAGAGGCATGGCACCTGGTCTCAGCATAAGAAGAGAGAGAAGGTACTGGCTTAGCCAGGATAGTCAGGCCTCTCCAGAAAGGCCGTGTTAAGACCAAAGTAAGTGAAGGAGAAGAAGAATCTGAGATAGGATCTTTTATGAAAATAACTATTTAAAAAAATTTTTTATGTTTATTTGAAGGGGGAGGAGAGAGAGCAAGGGAGCACGTGAGTGCGGGAAGGGCAGAGAGAGAGGGAGACACAGAGCCCGATGCAGGGCTCGAACCCACGAACCGTGAGATCATGATCTGAGCTGAAGTCGGATGCTTAACCGCCTGAGCCCCCCAGGCACCCCTAAAAAGGACTGTTTGAATGCCATGTTAATACTTTGCTTATATTAAATACACATGGAGCTCTTAAATTTGACCATAATTTATGCTGTTTATTTTTTTTAAGTGGCTCTCTTCCTAAGAGATATCTCTTTATCAAATTTCTGTAGCTTTATTTTCTACAGTTAAGGTGTTTGGAAATATGATACGCAGAATCATTTGCTTTGCTTTGCTATCAACAATAAAACATCAAGAGCACTGAATGTGTTAGTTATTTGACACTGAAAAAAGTGACCAGCTGGGATGGTTAGGGATTTATCTTCAGAGAGGTAATATAGATTGAGATGAGTAAGCCCATTTTATTAGCTCTCAGAGGGTGTTTTTTTTTTTTTAATTGATTTCCTAAAAAAAATTTTTTTTTAATGTTTTATTTATTTTTGAGACAGAGAGAGACAGAGCATGAGCAGGGGAGGGGCAGAGAGAGAGGGAGACACAGAATCTGAAGGAGTCTCCAAGCTGTCAGCACAGAGCCTGACGCGGGGCTCGAACTCAAGAACCGTGAGATCATGACCTGAGCCAAAGTCGGACGCCCAACCGACTGAGCCACCCAGGCGCCCCTAATTGATTCCTTTTTAATTGATTGAATCCTTAGGATTTTCTGTGCTAATCATCATGCATCTGCAAATAGGACGGTTTTGTTTTTGCCTCTTCGATCTGTGTGCTTTTCGTTTCTTTTTGCTGTACTGGCTAGAATCCCCAGCGCTGTGTTGGAGAAGAGTGATGAGAATATACATCCTGGCTTTCTTCCCAGTCTTAGGGGGAAGCCTTCAGTGTTTTGCCCTCAAGCGTAATATTAGCTACACATTTTTTTATAGGTGCTCTTTACCAAGTCAGAAGTACACATCTATTTCTGTATTTCTGAGAGTTTTTATCACAGATAGTTGTTGAAATTTGTCAAGTATTTTTTCTGCATTTATCGATATGAACATGTGATTTTTCCCCCTTTTGTTAGCCTATAAGTATGGTGGATTAGATTGGTTGATTTTGAAATATTGGACCAAACTTACATCCCTGGAATATATACATCACTGGTCATGGTGTATAATTATTTTTATGTGTTACTGAATTTTATTCCTAGTGTTTTGTTAAGGATTTTGGCATTCATATACATGAAGAATATTGGTCTTTCGTTTTCTGCCTTTCTTTTTTTTCTTTCTTTTTTTTGTTTTTTGTACTGCCTTTGTTTTTGTTATCATTCTTTTATTTTTCTGTTTCCTTTCTGAGATATAGTTCACATACAACATTATATTAATTAGTTTTAGGTGCGCACATAATGGTTTAGTATTTGTATATATTGTGAAATGACCACCACAGGAAGTCCAGTTACCATCAGCACGCGTAGTTATAGATTTTTTTTCTTGTGCTTAGAAATTTTAAGAGCTACTCTCTCAACGACTTTTCTGTATGTGGTACAGAATTATTAGCTGTAGTCCTCATGCTGTGCATTGCCTCCCCAGGACTTAGGCATTATGTAACTAGAAATTTGTACCTGTGATCACCTTCACTCCTTTAACATGCCCTTGCACCCCTACTTCTTGGAACCACCAGTTTGTTCTCTGAGTTCACTTTTTTGGTTATTTTAGATTCCACACATTGAGTGAGATCATGCAGTGTTTGTCTTTCTCTGACTGCCTTTGTTTAGCATAATTCCCTCAAGGTCCATCCACTTTGTTGCCAGTGGCAAGATAGTGCTTATTTTAATGGCTCAGTGGTATTCCATTGTGCATACACCCCACGTTTTATTTATCCACATACCCATCATTGGACATTTAAGTTCTTCCGTGTCTTGATGCTTGTGAATGATGCTGCAGTGAACACGGAATGCATATCTTTTCAATTCAGTGTTTTTGTTTTCTTTGGATAAATAATCAGAAGTGGAATTGCTAGACCCTCCAGTAGTTCTATAAATTAATTAATTTATTTATTTTTGAGAGAGACAGAGACAGACTGCAGCCGGGGGAGGGGCAGAGAGAGAGGGAGACACAGCATCTGAAGCAGGCTCCAGGCTCCAAGCTGGCAGCACAGAGCCCAGCACGGGGCCATGACCATGAGACCGTGACCTGAACTGAAGTCGGGCGCTTAATCGACCGAGCCACCCAGGTGCCCCTATTTGCAATTTTTTGAAGAGCCTCCATGTTTTCCAAAGTGGCTGTACCAATTTATGTTTCCACTAACAGTGCACAAATATTCCTTTTTATCTGCAACACTTGTTTATAACACTTGTTTGTAACAACACTTGTTATATCTTGTCTTTGGACAGCAGCCATTCCAACAGGTGCGAGGTGATATCTCATCATGGTTTTGATTGGCATTGACCCGATAATTTGATGTTGAGCACCTTTTCATGTACCTGTTGGCCATCTTTATGTCTTCTTTAGGGGAAAAAAAAAGAAAAAGTCTATTCAGATCTTCTGCCCATTTTTTAATCAGATTATTTGTTTGCCGTTGAGTTTTACAAGTTTCTAAAATATATTTTCTGTATTAACCCCTTCTCAGATATGTGATTTGCAGGTATTTTCTCCCATCCATTAGGTTGCCTTTTTATGTTGCAGATGGTTTCCTTTGCTCTCCAGAAGTAAGTTCAATGTTGTCCCACTTGTTGACTTTTGCTTTTGGCGCTCTTTGGCTGTGGTATCAGTGTAGTGCTGGCCTCATAAAATGAGTTTAAACGTATTCCCTCCTCTTTCATTTTTTGGAAGAGTTCAAGAAGGATTGGTGTTAATTCTTTTTACAAGGTTTGTTAGAATTCACCAGTAAAACCACCAGGTCCTGGGTTTTTCTTTGTTTGGAGGTTTTTGATTATTAATTTGGTATCTTTAGCATTATTGGTCTGTTGAGATTTTTTAATTTATTCACAATTCAGTTTTGTTTGGTTTTATGTTTCTATAAATTTATCCGTTTTTCTAGGTTATCCAGTTTGCTGGCATGTAATTGTTCATAGTAGTCTCTTATGATCTTTGTATGTGCTGCCCATTGAAATGTTTCCTCTTTCTGGTTTTATTTATATGAGTTGTTTTTTTTTTAAGTCTAGCTAAAGTTTTGCTCATTTTGACTGTCCAAAAACAATCTCTTAGTTACATTGATCTTTTCTTTGTTTTCCTGATGTTTGTTTCATTTATTGTTTCTCTGATCTTTGTTAATTCCTTTCTTCTGCTAACTTTAGATTTAGTTTGTTCTTTTTCTAGCTGCTTGATATGTAAAGTTAGGTGTTTGAGGTCTTTCATTTTTTTAATGTAGAGGTGTTTATTGCCATGAACTTCCTTCTTAGAACTGCATTTGCCATATTTCATAGGACATATAGTGTTTCCATTTTTGTCTGTTACAATATGTCTTTTTAATTTCCTTTTTAATTTCTTTTTGTGATCCATTGGTTATTTGGGAGTGTGTTATTCAATTTCCACATTTTTATGAATTTTCAAGTTTCATCCCTTATTGATTTCTAATGTCATACTTTTGTGCTTGGAAAAGATCCTTGGCATCGTTTGCTGAATTTCTTAAGACTTGTTTTGTGAGGTGCCCACATGGC